TGGAGAGAATACGAGTAGAACAAATAATTTACGCTGAACAGAACATGTTCACGATAGACAGTAATTAACTGCGTGTTGGAGGTTGGGGGCAAATTCGGCTGTCATGAAATAAAGGTTAATGTCACAATGGCCCGAAGGTTGTATGTTAGAACCCCAGGGGCCTAAATTTCTCTGTGTGGTACTACTGAATAGTCCTTTCTTGGTTGTCTTTCTCCTTCCTAAATACTGTCTTACGCTTGTTAGCAAATAAATTACCACGTCGAACGATGTTTGTGGAGGCAAGTAGTGGGTGTAACAAAGCCAAGGGTGGTCAAGCTAAGACCTGAAACGAGGGTATGAAAACCGTAACGAGCAGATTGGGTCACATAGGTCCAGTTAGGCTTCCTGACTGGGGACCTCGGGACGACCGTACTCGACGATTAGATACACTAAGTGATATGGCTTACGGTCGTAAACAGTGATGTTCGTGCATCTTCTTAATTTCTTTACAATCCTATAAACCACTGAAATTCTCGTCATTTTCTGTTCGAATCTACTTTCAGCTTTCCTATCTTCGTCGTTCTGTTCATCCAAATGGGCGACCAAAACCCCATGCACTAAAGTGCACGTTTAATGGTTGTACAAACCTGAAACTGAAACTTCCCAATGATTTTGTGTGCGCTCGTTCGTTCGTGCCTGTGTAATACGGGTGAATGTAAAAGATAATTTATATCATTATGAATATATACTATTTGGATGACACGATGGTACTTTTTTGTCCGGGTTCCATCAATCTTATAGTCCTGGTTAACTTGTTCAATTATTTCGTTTTTCTCGCTCAATCAACCCACCCCACTTTTCAAAACCAATATGTCAACTTGTTGTTTGCTCTGTACGATCGATACCAACTCTCGTCTATCTGACCACCGAGGACAACAGATAGACGGATTAGTTTACACACAATCTCAAAGTTTTTCTCACTGTCCCACCCCCACCTCACCCACCTATTCCTTGCTGGTATATTAGCTCAGTTGGAATATGTATTTCAGTCTATTGTGGCTTCTTACGACCTATTATTTATAAGAGGCGTTCCCGCTGTAACCGTGGCAACAATTTAGGATCTTAACATCGCCTCTCTGTACGCGAATTTGAACGAACCTATGGTCAGCGCTCATGGTCATTTGGACTTGTACATTAGCGGACGGACGAGCTAATCGCATATGTACTTCCCATATACGATATCGATAAACTTGTGTGGGTGTGGGATGGTAGGTGGATAGGCTTGAATTCTATGCATTTCTGTGTATCCGACTTTGCCGTGCATCACGATTCCCTTGCTATTGTTGTGGTTGTTATTGTTGCTGGTGCTTGTGCTGCTGATCGTAGTGTTACAATTCTGCAAAGCAGTGCCTGGACAAGGAAAGTTATTTACTTATTTGATGAATAAGAACATCGGCCTAGGGGCAAATAAGCTTACACAGAACGAAACATCCTAATGTCAACAATTGATTAGCTGTTTCGTGATCCTGGCATCTTCGGTGCTATCAAACCTGACAGTTTGTCTTCGACTGTTTCCCTATTGAATCCATTCGGGTATGCCGTGGGAATCTGGCAATTACTTCTTGGTACGCGCAAACTACTCACAAATGTGAGTAGTACCTCACAACAGTAATCCGTTTGTAGGTTGAAGTGGATCAGGTTCCCCGCGTATTCGAATAGACCCATGATCCAACTAATGAAAAGTGCCTCGCTCGGAATACATCTTAAGCACTGAACTCATCTCTGGTCGTAGTTACTGTGGTCAGCATTGGTTGTTGAATAATGTCCGAGCAACTACGACCAATTATACTTTAGCTGTAGTGTGCATTAATCAGGGCTTAACCCTTCACGCTTATCGAGTCGGGTCCAGTTTAGCGGTCTCACGCTTAATCGCACCTCTACACTGACCCATCGAATCGCGCATCCGTCAGCGAACTCGACAAGATGTTGAGGACTGAATGTCTACCTCATTTCAACACAGAAAGACCGTGCGAAAACAGAGGATCAATCCGCGGCTGGAAAAATCATGTGATCAAAGTGTGAGCAATGAGGTGCGCTGAACGGAAGCGAATCTAACCACAGTACGTTTCTTTCTCAAATCAAAGTGATCGTTTGTCAAATTAATCTTAAAATGGTATAGTTTACTCTGCTCCCCTATCTCTCTTTATCGACCCCTCCCCTCCGCTCCGCTCACCCACCCTAGGTAGCACAGAACAAAATAACGGATGCATTCCGAACGGTTCGTCAACCAATCCCATCTCGGATCCTGTGAATACGACCGTGAGTTAGTTTTCATTCATTGGTGGGTTTTTTTTTCACCCAGTGTGTGCAAGTTCGCCACGATGTCGATGTATATCGATCTCTGCCTTGCCGTCTGCACGCCTCCGCCCCACCCACCCCACGCCGTCCCACACTTCACACATTAAAGATCATCCACTTTATCAAAAAGATTCTCTTTTGTTTTTGAAAAGAATTCACAATTTCCAGCAAAAGATCATCGGCATTTCACGAATTCTCTGACAATATTCCGTTGGAAAAATAATCGTATGTTGTGTGGTGTTCATTATCCAAGAGTTTGTTTAAACGCAACCCGTCAGATACATTGTAACCTTAAACTGTTTAGAGCATGGAATACACCGATTTCTCGAGATGTCAGAGACATTTCTTCCCAATCTATTTAGTTGCTATAACATATAACAATCCGATATTCATACAGTTGCTGAGGGAAAACAAAACACTCAGTCCCAGGCCGATGGTAGCCCAGTACTAACTTCACCAAATTATCACCCCTGGGGGGAAGAAACGTGTGTGTTCGAATCCCAACATCACTGCCGCCTACCTTTCCCCATTGTGTATGATTGACCGCTTCCCCTTTTCTGGAAATTGTATCCTTGTATTATATACAATAAAAAAAGGAAGTAACAATGAAAAAGAACAAAGAATCACGACCTGTCACGGTAAGATGGAAGGCACATGTGAGACTGAATTGGGCAACTGGTTCTGTTTGTGATTGTCGAGACTAAGTCCCGATAGCAATCGAACCAGTGTGGCACAATCCGAAACTGTGTTCGGCTTCTGATGTGTATCGTTCTCGAGATAGTCACTTTTAACGGCACAATCAATCAAATGACCACGGACCTGGTCTTTTTTGTTCATCTCCACTGACACTTCCCTTTATTTCTCTTCTCTGTGCTCTAACAATGTCATCTGTTTGGGCATCTCCTGGCTCTCTCTCTCTCTCTGACTGACTATCCTATCTCGCCCCTGGAGAGGTCACTCCAGCGAATAAGCAAGTTAAGGGGTAGTTTATCGTAAGAACCGGGTATCTTGTACTTCTTCTCGACAGAGCGGAAGAAGTCTTCACGCTTCATCGGACAGTTACAACAAGCCCAAGTTCGGTAGCCTCCAGCCAATAAGGTGCTGTCCCGTCCACGTTCCACTCGTCTCATTGGTTCGATGAGACTAAGAGCCAGTCGTGAACAACGAACGCAGCAGCGAACAATATACTGAATCGAAACCCGAAGACCATTCGTGACAGGTATTTAGAGGGCTCCCACACAGGTGCTTTGGTGCTTTGGATCTACGCCTCACTGTTTTGTGGATCAGATTTTTTACTCGAAAGCTCTGGCTAGAGTTCCAAGGAAAGAAAATCCTTCATCAATATGGGCTGCCGCGAAGTATTTCATGTTCTAAATTCTTAGATACCCATTTAGAAAAAATACTCTTTACCTTCTGTTTAGTTAATAGTGTTCAAACGAATCCGATGTTTCCTCGGGTGAGATAACAGACGAATTCAATTTAAAGCGCAGTAAAAATCACCTCATCGACTGACGTGTTAGTTCTGCTCCGGAACAAGATGTAATCTTGACTTTTACTGACATAGTATTATTTGTTTTTTTTCTGGCATACCATGATGATGACGATGATGATGTTATTTGTCTTCGTCACTATACGCTTGTTTTCTATCAGGCTAAACACGTTGACCGACGTTACGTTTTTTTTCATAGTATTACTATATATATAAACCGTGTATAATTTGTGTGTGTGTGTGTGTGTGTGTGTGTGTGTATAGACTCATCACATGCTTCGGTTCCTGCCTGTGAGCTCCGAAACCATCACAGTTTTTAATGTGTGTTTCAGTTCAGTTTTTACAACCCTGCATGCATTTTTGTGCGCCGGTTTTGGTTGCTGTCTTTCGGTTGCCCCCATTTGGATAGAAGTGCAGAATGAAGATTGAAATGTTGGGAAAGGAGTTGAGAAGAAAATAGAGAATTCATGTGGACTGCGGTCACAAGAATGATGAGTAGATACATGAGCGATATTGTTTGCGAGACTGAGACATATCACTCAGTGCCTCTCACCACCGGTTATCATGATCTCGAGGTCCCCTTATCTATGGAGCGTAACGAGATCCAGCATAACCCAGTGTGCTGGTGTTTATAACCTCATGCCCGGTCCTTGTTTGACGACCCTTGAACTTTTTCCAACCGCTTCCTGTCTCAGCAAACATTTCTCACTTTGGCAATCTATTCGGTGACATGAGCAACACGTCCCAAGCATCGTAGTCTATGGAGAGCGACCAATTGTCACGGTTGATTACCGTGATTAACTAAAACCCTACGCCTAACCTTAGCATTGCTAGTCCGGTTTCCCCACCGGACTCGTACAATGCGACGTAGACAGCGGTGTTCTAACATCGACGATCTATTTTCATCCTGTTCCCGTAATGGCCTAGTCTCTTCATGATAGAGCAGGACTGGTTGGAGTTTACAAAACTCCTGGATTCCGTGTGGGAAAAACAACAGGTTCCAACTGAATGGTGTGAATTCGTGATCATACCGAATTACAAGAAGGGTGACAGGTCCTCTTGTGAAAACCAAAGAGGAATTATTTTAATTAATACTGCCTCTAAACTCCTCGCCGGGATCATACTCCGTCGATTATCTGCCGCTCGTGAAGAGTGCACACGTGAGAACCACGCTGGTTTTAGACCTGATCGAGGTTGCATCGACCACATCTTTACTCTCCGTCAAATTCTAGAACATAGACACTCCTTTCGTAGACCCACCATTTCTATCTTCCTCGATCTAAAAGCGGCTTTCGACTCAGTCGACCATTGTAAACTCTGGTGCTGCCTTTCCCTGAAGGGAGTGCCCGAGAAGTTTATTTCANCAATCCCTCTACAATGATAGCCGAAGTCGAGTTCGAGCTTACGGCACTTTTTCACCCGAGTTCACCACGGAAAGTGGTGTTCGACAGGGTTGCCCTCTCTGTCCTTTTCTATT